AGTTCAATGACAAGATTCATTAGTTGTATCAACAAGGTTATAAGTTATGATATAGAATATGTCATCATCTTCATTTACTTATATGTGATGATTTATAAGAATTAGAGGATTGTAGATTCTTTGGAATAATACTTCTAGTATCAAGAATATAGATCTATACAAAATCTAAAAGAAAATATATTAATATGCCATTAAAGAAGAAATAAATAAATAAATTAATTAATTAATTAATTAAAATAAAAAAGAATTAAAATGGCTATTATCAAATATAATGAAATATGATAGTTTTGAATAAATTTTGGAATACAAGAGAAATATTGATAAGATTAAAGATAGCTTTAATCTTCTTTTTATATATATATATTAATTAAAAAGAAGGTCTTGAATAAGTTTTTTATAGACCTCAAAGCTTGTGGATTGAACTTCAAAGATTTAGGTTACCTCTCATTCAACTTTCTAGAAGCATTTAATAGCTTAGTGACATATTTGTAAAAATCTAAATATCAACTTTTACTTATGTCTCAAAATTGGAAGAGATACAAAAATTATTTGTTATAGTTAAACAATTACTCTCAAGTTCTTGAATTTCTTGGCAATATCAAAAAATTCCTTATTTGATTGTTTGGCAAGGAAGGACAATAATTTTGATCATGAAGTTCTCTTTAAACTAGCTACATTCTTTTGAAAGTTGTAAGGTAAAAATTTTGACTTTTAAAAGGAACTATAAAGGTCGTCAATATTCTTGTTCATAAATGTTTTGATTTTTCATGCATTTACAATCAATTCCAATAATAACTATCATTCTAAAAAAATAATAAATAAAAATATATTAAAAATTTAAGGTCCACAAATTCCCAAACTTAATGGCTTGTAATAATTCTACTTTGCCAAACAAACCAATGTAATACTACTACTACTAATAGTTAAATTGGATGCCAATAATAATAACTTTATCCTCCTAAATTTCTATTACTAAAAATATGTAGACTTGCTATATTTCTTTCTTCATGCAAACCATTTATTTTTTCTACTTAATCAACTTCTCAAAGTAATACAATTGATAAAAATATGCAATAAAGTCAACAATATAAGCAATATTAATAGCTATATATTTTTATTAAATACATAGAATGCTAACACACAAAGTAATGTAATGAAAAATAAGTTTAGTATTGGATGAAGAATTGAAGTAGATATGAAATCGTCTTTTTTATTACTTGTAGTTGTACTTTGAAAATATTGGTAGTTATTATTGTTGCAGGCAATAGTGCAAATAGAGTTTGAAAATTGATTTGCTACAAGCAAATGAGTCTAATGTTGGATTAAGAGTTGAGTTGTCTATTTTTTATTAGTTATAGTTGCTAATGTATTTATAAAATATTGATGTTTATTGAAGAGAGAAAAATTTAAAAATTTGATTCATTTCTTGATTTGTGCATGTCATCCTTGCGTAGGGCCATGCTAATCTTCTCTATATTATTCCAATTTTATCAGATGTCTCCAAAGAGACGACTATTAACTAACTACTATCACTCAATATAATTATTCTTGCAACTACCTCCAATCCATATGAGACAAAACACTCGCCTTCTATCTTTCTTTTTTGCAACTCTACACTACATCATCAACCATGCTTCTTTTTTTTAGAAAATATCAATTACTTCACACAAAATCAAAATACATCTTTATATACTTGTTTCTATGGAATTAACATCCTTTTAATAAAGAATCCATTTTGAGTAACTCATTGCTGCCATTGCAACCATTGTCACTTTGATACATGCACACATACATGACATCCACTTCAAACATTGATTAAAGAGTCTTACAACTATATATTGGAGGCATTATTTGCAACGATGCCACATAAATCGACTTTCCACATGCTTTGCATTTTGCATGGCTGCCATCACTTGTTCTATAAAAACATCATAGCCCAAGTTAGAAATAAGTATAGTCTTCTACAATATGGACATTTTTACTTCAAACAGGGAGTATATGTGATGTAGTAACAATGAAATCCTTAAAATTTGTGTATGTTGTAATTGAGTTGGATAGACTCCATTGTTTCAATTTTTACAAGGAGTTCTTTGCCTCCTCTTCCAATCCAACCTCACTAAACCAATCAATTAGGATTTATGTCAAAGCATCTTGCCTAGCAATTTATACTAGCATTGTCAAATTCCACTACCATCTTAGCAATGCTATTATGCTTGTTTGGTATACATTGGTATAAATGGAATCTATAGTTTGTAGTATTTTTTATTGATATTGTTTGGCTCACATTCTGAAGCATTTGAATCATGGACAATGCATTGGCATAGTCTTGTGCGACGTTGGATTCTTCAAGGATTGTAACTTATATTTTTATAGTCTCCTTTTAATCTGTATTATTAAATTTATTGAATACTTTGAAAACTTGAGTATTAAGGTCTATTGAATATCTACTTATAAAGTAGATGGAAGATTGACATACATTTTAATGGTGGCAAATTGATCTATATATCAATCTATAATTTTGCTCAAATTTGGAGTCTTGTAATTTTTTTTAGTTTGAGTCTAAATCAATTGCGGATTGGATTATGTATTTACAAAAAGAAGTAAAATACTTGAATCATATAAAAATAAATTATAAATTTTAATTATACTTTGGACTTACGTTTTTATTTCCACTTTTTTTTTGTTAAGTTGATAGAGACAAGTAATATAAGATGAGTATAAAATTTTATTAATAGTATAGGCTTGAATGGATTTAATAGCTCTATATTTTTTGATATGGCTCAAGCTATAAGCATACTGTAAATTATTGTAATATACTTGAGTCTATATATATTATTGTAAAATTATAAAAACTTTAAAAAAAATATTTTAAGATGTGAAAGATGATTGTTTAATATTCTTTTAAATAATAAAATTTAATTCAATATTACTTACATCAGTGTAATAATTTTTTGCTAAAATATTTATATATTCATTCTGACTACAAATAGAGTTGTTCTTTTAGATTAGAATATATTTTAAAATAAAAAATTTCTACCTATATATATATATATATATATATATATATATATATATAATATGTAGAAAATAAATAAATAAATAAAATATATCAAATATATTTCTTAGAATTATTAATATTTTATTTTATTTTATTTGTAATATATCTTGCAAAATATTAATAAGATAGATAAATTGAATAAACCTTTGATGACTTGATAAAACTTGGTGGTATAATAAATTTCAAAAATTTACTAAATAAAAAAAAATCCTAAATTAAATATTTAAATCAAATAATTACTCAATGGTTTGTTGGTACAAAATTAATATGTTTTAAAACCTCTGAAAGTACATTTTCAACTAAAATTGATGATGCAATATTTTATTCTTACTTTGCAATATATTTCTATAAAAAATCTTTAATTTGGATACACAACATCTTGTTAACACTTGAAGTAGGTAGAAAATGTAAAAAAATACTTCAAAGTATTAATTTTTCATCAATTTCACATCAAAACATAAAGAAAGATTCAATACATGGTCTGTTTTGTAGTGATATTATAATTTTCATAACAAAAATATTTAATAACTATATTTTATTTTACATCCATTAAATATAAAACCATAATTGTAAAAAATGTTCACATCAATACATCACACATACAACAATAAAATAAAACAATCTAAACATATTTTGAATACAAATTATGATTGTATGTGATACTTTTGTACAAGTGTGATGATGAATTGGTAATTAAACTACTAGATTTTAATAAAAATATGAAAGATTTAACTAAATAAAGTACTCAAAAGTATTTACAACTATGTCAATGTGCAATTCCTACTTCAAAAGCTCAAAGTTATGGATCCAAAATATGACCTTGCAAAGAAAGAAAGAAATCATTAAAAAAAACAAAATAAACATTCAAAAGAAATATGGAATTGATGTAACTTTAACAACACAAAACACATATCATTTACAACAAATACTATTTTCAGTAAGATAGAAGTGATAAATATTCTATTAGAAATATACACCACTAAAGAATACTTTTATTCTTTATACACCAAAATATAGACAAAATTCATACATATCACTGTTTCCAATCAAATATGTACACATCTTAAATTTACTACATAACTTCAATAATACATATAAAAAAGAAAGCTTAAGTCCCTACCATCATTATTTAATGAAATTAAGAGTCCTTACCCATATCAAACAATAACAAAGTATACATCTTTTAACAAAGAATACTACAAACCATGGATTCTATTTATACCAATGTATACCAAACAAGCATAATGGCATTGCTGAGATGGTAGTAGAATTTGACAATGCTAGTATAAATTGCTAGGCAAGATGCTTTGACATAAATCCTAATTGATTGGTTTAGTGAGGTTGGATTGGAAGAGGAGGCAAAGAACTCCTTGTAAAAATTGAAACAATGGAGTCTATCCAACTCAATTACAACATACACAAATTTTAAGGATTTCATTGTTACTACATCACATATACTCCCTGTTTGAAGTAAAAATGTCCATATTGTAGAAGACTATACTTATTTCTAACTTGGGCTATGATGTTTTTATAGAACAAGTGATGGCAGCCATGCAAAATGCAAAGCATGTGGAAAGTCGATTTATGTGGCATCGTTGCAAATAATGCCTCCAATATATAGTTGTAAGACTCTTTAATCAATGTTTGAAGTGGATGTCATGTATGTGTGCATGTATCAAAGTGACAATGGTTGCAGTGGCAGCAATGAGTTACTCAAAATGGATTCTTTATTAGAAGGATGTTAATTCCATGGAAATAAGTATATAAAGATGTATTTTGATTTTGTGTGAAGTAATTGATATTTTCTAAAAAAAAGAAGCATGGTTGATGATGTAGTGTAGAGTTGCAAAAAAGAAAGGTAGAAGGCGAGTGTTTTGTCTCATATGGATTAGAGGTAGTTGCAAGAATAATTATATTGAGTGATAGTAGTTAGTTAATAGTCGTCTCTTTGGAGACATCTGATAAAATTGGAACAATATAGAGAAGATTAGCATGGCCCTACGCAAGGATGACATGCACAAATCAAGAAATGAATCAAATTTTTAAATTTTTCTCTCTTCAATAAACATCAATATTTTATAAATACATTAGCAACTATAACTAATAAAAAATAGACAACTCAACTCTTAATCCAACATTAGACTCATTTGCTTGTAGCAAATCAATTTTCAAACTCTATTTGCACTATTGCCTGCAACAATAATAACTACCAATATTTTCAAAGTACAACTACAAGTAATAAAAAAGACGATTTCATATCTACTTTAATTCTTCATCCAATACTAAACTTATTTTTCATTACATTACTTTGTGTGTTAGCATTCTATGTATTTAATAAAAATATATAGCTATTAATATTGCTTATATTGTTGACTTTATTGCATATTTTTATCAATTGTATTACTTTGAGAAGTTGATTAAGTAGAAAAAATAAATGGTTTGCATGAAGAAAGAAATATAGCAAGTCTACATATTTTTAGTAATAGAAATTTAGGAGGATAAAGTTATTATTATTGGCATCCAATTTAACTATTAGTAGTAGTAGTATTACATTGGTTTGTTTGGCAAAGTAGAATTATTACAAGCCATTAAGTTTGGGAATTTGTGGACCTTAAATTTTTAATATATTTTTATTTATTATTTTTTTAGAATGATAGTTATTATTGGAATTGATTGTGAATCCAAAAAAAATCACAAAAATTATGAATAAGAATATTGAAAATTTATTAAATATTTTCATAACAATAAATTTTTAATTTTTTAATATGATTTTAATTTTTTTATCTTTTAGAAGTTAAAGCAAGACAATTAAGAAATCAAATGTATATTATTTATAAATTTTATATTTAAGAATCATATAAATATACAAAAAATATATATATGTATATTTTAACTTGAATCATATATTATTACTATTGTTGATGAACATATGTTTTTTAAGTTTTAAAAAATGAAATTTCTTAATTCACTTTGTACTTAAAGTTTTGGAATATAAGTGAATTAGAATGTTAATTGGTACATCAAAGATAATTTTTAAAGATTTTAAGCAAAGCTTTATATATACATATTTTATCTTAAAATAATATATCTTATTTCAAGTTTAATTTTAATTTAATTTAAATTTCAAACTTGTAAAAAATTAAAAATAGAAAAAAAAAATATATCATGTCAAAAAATAAGTATGCTTACAATCTATCATGAAAATAATTTAGATTTTTTTATTTAAACAATATTGGTTTTTTATTTTATTTTATTTAATAAGAATTATCAAGTTTTTAATTATTACTTGATAATTAAAAATAAATTTATTATATTTAGAAATTGGTATTAAAATTAGTCATTAAAGATGTATTAAAGTAAAATATATATATATATATATATATATATATATATATATATATTAAAATTGAATCAATTATATTTAAATTTATTACTTATAACATAACATAAAGATATAATTTTTAAATTATATAATAAATTAAAGCTGAAAACATACCTTAAATTATTATGCATACACATAAGGCTTTTAATTACCTCATCAAAATTCCTTTTCTCTTCATTCAATATAAGTTCTATTCTTCTTTCCTCAATTTCTTGCTTAATTGCACGTTTAGGTCCCTTTTTTTTTCATCCTTGTCTTAGTATAAATTCCAATTGTCCTTTTTCTTTTCCTTGCTATAGTATAAGTTTCAATTTCCCTCCTTCTTTCTTTGACCTTGGCATGGATCTTGGTCTTATTCTTTCTTTTCCTTGCCTTGATGTAGGTCAAAGTAGAGAAAAAAAGATATTGAGACAACATTAGCACAAAGGAGAGAAGAAAGGAAATTGGAACTTGTGTCAAGATAAAGAAGAGATATGACCCATGTCAAAGTAAAGAATAAAAAGAAGGAGATGGAAACTTGTACTAGAATAAAAAATAAAAAAATAAAAAATAAAAATAGATGAATCAATTAGAAGCCTTAGATGTGTGTATAAACATACTAAATGTATGTATAGAAACTTAGAATTTGCTTGTAGGCTAAGCCTATATAATATATTATATAGATAAAAATTTATAAATAAAAATTGATATTTAATATTAGTATCTTTTTAAATTATTTATAATATTAATGTTATATATTCATACATATATAATAGTAATTATTATATGGATTTTTTATCAATTTTTACTTCAAATTTAAGTTGTGGCAAAAAAAGTAATTTTATCCTCCTATCTTCAAACCTTAACAATTATCAAGGATATAAATCTAAAAGAATTAAAGGATTAATATATTCTTGTGTTATTCAAAAAGAGTAGATAATTACTGAAAGATGGTATAATATTGAATTATAATGGCTATTACCAAAGATAAGAAAATTAGAGTTTCTTGAAATAAGAGTAAAAAAAAAAAAAAAAAAAAAAAAAATACATTGACAAGAATGAAGGAGGCTTCATTCTTGCCTCTTTATATATTATCTAATTATGAGCTACATGATAATGTTCTATAGGATCTCCAACATATGTCCAACTTGTGACACACATGTCTTAAATTGCAAGGTAATTTTTTTATATATATACACCACATAGTTAACTTATACCACAAGCTAATAATACATGCTACATGTGTTTAACTTGTTGGCTAAGTTTTTAACCTATCAATAAACTATAAACATGTGTAAATTAAAATTCATATCTATAAAGCTTTTAAAAAGCTTTCTACAAGTTATTATCAAATTTATCTAATTTAATCTACTTCTACCTATTCATATCATTTGATTAATTATTAGAATAAATATATATGTATGTGACATTAGTGCCCTTTCTGAAGACAAGTTCTACAAAAAATAGTGATGACATGTTCATGAAGTTTAAGATCCAATGAATTTTATTTTTTATGTATTTTGATCTTTATTTTTTAAAAAATAATTGATATGACTTCTCATCTATGAATAATATTCCATTCAAGGACAAAAAGACCACCTTGATATTTGATCATTGTTGAGGTCTTTATAACTTCTTTCAAATAAAATATTTGTAATACCAATAAGAATCATTCTTACCTCGAATAAAATCACCAAACATTAAGAGTCTCTTCTAAGGTCATAATATCAAATACATTGTATCTTGTCTATTATTTAAAGAAAAATATTTTATTTTTGAAGATCTGCATTTTTATTAAGTCATTTTTAAGGTTGCCACAATTGCAATGTCTTATTCAATAAGTCAATAAATGATAGCTCTTGAGTTAAATTTTCTAGTTTTTGATTCTCCATCTCTTTTATGCCTTAAATACTTAAAAATTAAAAACAAAGATAGAAAGTAGAATTTTATCTTTTTTAGACCTTATGTCATTTGTAGCAAAAAAATTCTATTCTTTATCTTTATTTTGATAGATATTGTCAATGAAAAATATCAACTTTCTTAATTGTATTTATAAGATTCTTGGTTGGCTACTATGTGCATTTATTAATATCATATCTATTCCAATGAAGAAGATAATCCAACCTATTTTAGAATTGCCTTGAGTATAAGACATCTTTGACTTTATATTCTTGATTTTGGTCCAATTTTATACAAAAAAGTAGCATTTGTCTTCTTCATGATATATCTAGTGTCTTATATAGCTCAAGAAAAGATACTTGAAATATAGAATAGATCTTCATAGACTTCAATAGTTATAATTAATAAGAAAATAAATAAATTAATTTATTAATATGAAATGGTCTAAATCTATAATAATCTAACTTATTATAAGGAAAAACAATCTTGATGTTACAATAACATAATCATACATTATTGCCAACGTAGAATTAAGATTATTTTTTGCGATAGGCATCCATGTTGATCTTTTATCATTCTTGAACTTCATTTAATTATGTCTTTATTATTATATATAACTTGAATATACAATTTTATAAATCTTTTACTATATAATTTTTAATTTTTAAAAAGTTAAAAATATCAGTTCATGGATGATAACTATAATTGGTAAAATAAAGTTTTTATTAAGTAGATAAATAAACCATGCTATTATAAGAAAAATTTATCAATGGAAATAGAATTATTCAATCATATTCTTAGTAGTTTATAGTACACCTCAAATATTGCTCTACAACTTGATTCACCTACTCTATTATTATGTGATAACACAACTATACAATAAAAGATTAAAAAAAGATTATATTATAGAAGAGCTTAAATTAAAATATTTTTATAAATTATCTTTAAAATATAGTTAATAGATGAGGATGTAGTAAAAATTAATAAATGCTACTATTGCATTCTTAAAGAAGTAACTTCTATTTACTTTGTGGAGGCATAAGTGAGCCAAAACACAAATTAGATAAATAATTGATATAGGTATTTTTAAAAAGAGATAAAAAATAGGTTTTAGTAAAAATTAGCTCAAAATATGAAGAATTAATATCAACAGAGGATTAATTATGAATCAAAGTTGAGATAAAAATCCAAGGCACAAAATCATGCACCAACAATGACTTCTAGATTCTTTGATTGATTAACGAGTGGAATTTGAGAATAAACTTGTGAGAAGATATTTGAGAGTTTATTACAAATTTGAAGATTTTGTCAATTTGTAATTTTTTTTTATTAAATATATTTAAGTAATTTAATATTAATTAAATGATTAAATTGATGGTTATAAGATTTTTTTTGGATTATGATCTTAGATAATTGAAATTTAAGGTTTGTGATGATTTTTGCAATTTCACAAAATCTACCAATTTGATTAAAGGATAAATTAGTGAAAGTAATTTAGACTTAGAAATATACATATCAACAAATTTTTGAAATAATTTAATAGTTTAGCATAGAAAAAATACTATTGGAAGATCAATATTCAAGTTAGAGAAGAATGGCAGCTAATATCTAGGAGGTTTTGGGAGTTTTTTTTAATTTAGTAAATTTGATTATCTTCAAATTTTATGTACTTATTAATTTCTAATAAGTTAAAATATAAGTAAAATTTTAGTCAAGATCGTTGATTCAATTAATATTTATTGAAATTGTAAAACAACTATATGAATTGATTAAGATTCATTTAA